CCATATAAGTATCCAAGTGTGTGTGCTGTGCAATGAGTGGCATTGCATGGCCTGGAGGCCATGAGTGTAGGCACCATCGAATGCATGAGCTTTTCGGTATGATATCTCCTGTCTGTCTGTCTACCTAAGGTCCATTGTTGGTTACAGGGCTGCGTATGTGATAGTATTTGCATACAACTCAAGTACGTTCGGACACATTTAAATCTAACTGACGACGATAGAGACTTTGGCCAAAATGGTTATGTTTGTTTGGTATGACGGCTACTGTTTTTTTGTTTGGTCTCGCCATACCAAAGGCAAGAATTTGAAAACTAACACTCAAATGCAGTCGTCGTCATCGTCGTCGAACCGTCTCCGTGAAAAACAACATCCCAAGACAACAGCAGCAACAATAGCAGCTTTCATTGTTGGCCCAACATCTAACGCTTTAACCATATCATATTACCCCCAGAACATGGTCATGGCAACAGAGAACACCAGAAGTTTACCACTATTATTAATATGGTGGGACGCTTAGGACGTCCGTAATGTATGCTATTTTATAACATGTGATGATACCATTGGACAACGGCATAACTTTCAACTGGGAAGCTTTATCATATATTGAATTTTGGAAATTGCAGAACCATATATTGAATTGAAAAATTTTAAACGAATATATTTGGCATTGTTAAACCTATGGGAGAACGATAATTTCCAAAATATAATTTTAATAATTATAAAGACCTTCCGACTATTCAGGTTGGTTAACAATAGAGAGATTTGAAGAATTTTTAATATTTGGCAAAAAATATATAATTATCGATTCACATTTTAAATAATATCGTACCAAGTCTTCTCCAGGTCTTAAAATATATGCGTATAAAAATAATGACTTTTACATTCTCGGCATTGGGCCACTTGTTTAAAGAGACTTGCAAAAGACCAACTTTACATTAGATCAAATGTTAGTACAAATATTGCATGTGAGATGTTTGAAAATAACTTGCGAATGTTATGATAACACTGTGCTACACAAAAAATTATAAGGGGAAAATCCAGCAGATTATTAAAATAGTAGTAGTAAGTAGTTATAAAGAACTTCTTGGGTAGATTCTCAGACAATTTCATTGAAAATTTTGGCTACAATCATCAACATACCGAATATCAGGGGTGGGGTACAGTTATATGGGGGCTAACAATATCATGCACTGATATAGCCCATCTTCGTACTTGACCTGCCTGCTTTCTATCTTAATTCGTCTTGACTTTAGTGTGATTGCAACATACAGACAGACGGAAGGGTAGTTATAAATCATCTCAGAATTTTACGCTGATCAAGAATATACAGGGTGACATAAAAAAAACTGCAACAACGTCAAACGCCATAGTTTTTACTTTTTTTAAATTTGATTGACTGAAAGCAAAAAATGTCGGAATAACATCAATTTTAAGAATACGTTTAGATTTGTTCGAATTGGTCACCTTTGGCACGAATTATGGCCTTTAAACGGCCAATGAAACCGTAAAACCCGCCCGAATGTTGCTCTGCGGTATATTGGTCCATTCCGGGTGAAGCGCTTGCTTGAAGTGATCGACACTTTGGTATTTTTTAGTGTCAACTTTGCTTTCCAAAATACTCCAAGCGAGGAACCTTTTTTTCTAAGCATTCTTGGGTGCCGCGTGCTGACTATTTTCGCGATAATATTCGGCATTTATTCTGATGCCACGGTCGATTAATACGAGCGGAGAGCGATCATCGGCTGTTATGGCCGCCCACACCATCACCATGGCCGGGGGTTGAGTTCTGGTGGCCAACCGAAGGTGCACATTTTCAGCTGACCTCATTGACAAGTAAACACGATCATTTTGTTTGCGAACTGCTGGACAACGAATGTTTTCTCGTCGGAGAAGACCAAATTTTTTAGAATTTCAATGGCTTTATTCCGAGCTCATTTTTCAATATTTGCCGAATGAAATATTGCGATATGTTCAGCTCACGGACCATTCTTCGGCCACTGCGACGCTTCTTTACTTTTCGAACTATTTCTGCTTATGTTGCTGTTTTTTTCCGTCCACTTCCTTGTCGTCGGGCTACGCAACCAGTATCACGGTAACGAGCGATGGTACGATTCACAAAAGATTTATTCACATATTAATGCTGGAGTGCTCTAACGATAGCCACTTCACAAATTACGAATCACGAATAACTTTTTTTCTGGAAAATTATCACCGAAGTGCTTTTGTATGCTTGTAAACAATATATTGAGCTGTCACTGGAATTATTTTAACAGCTGTCGGATGAGTGGCTTAATAATGACAACAGTCTGAAATTGGTTGCAGTTTTTTCATCTCACCCTGTATCTTCTTTGATAGGTCTAAAATGATAATTTCGATGAGTTGCAAACGGTGGAGGTTAAAAAACAAATTTTAGGTTTAGAAGCGTGCCTTTGTGAATTCGTGCAAAAATCTCCAACACAGTATCATTTTAGAAGGACGAATTCCGTATTTTTTGATACATTTTTCCTCTGACTTTTTTCGAGTTGACGAGAATATATATATATGTATATATATATATATATATATGTATATATATATATATATATATATATATATATATATATATATATATATATATATATATATATATATATATATATATATATATATATATATATATATATATATATATATATATATATATATATATATATATATATATATATATATATATATATATATATATATATATAGGCTCAATAGTTGTTATATTAGAAAAATTACATTCAGAATGTATGTACTAAAAATGAAAATTATGTCTTTTCACTTTTACTGTTAATCTAACACATATCCAATCCGAATCAAAATCTCCCTTAATACATATTATACCATCCACATTACTATGGAGGGTATATTAATTTTGCCATTCCGTTTGTAACTTCTCGAAATACTCATGTCAGACCCAACAAAGTATATATATTCTTGATCAGCGTAAAATTCTAAGACGATTTAGCCATGCCCGTCTGTCCGTCTGTCTGTCTGTTGTAATCACGCTATCTTTCGAACAAATTGAGATAGAAGGCTAAAATTTTGCACACATGTATATTTTGCCAGTAGGCAAGCCATATAACGGTACCTCCCGATATTCGGTATTTTGATGATTTTAGCGACATTATTCAGCGGAATTCTTTCAAATTTGGCATTTGAAGTTCGTAATGGATACTACAGCCTAAGACAGAAAATAATCTGTGTAGGTCCACGTCTTCGTATAGCCCCCATATACCATACCCCCCGATATTCGGTATTTTGATGATTTTAACGACATTATTTACCGGGATTGTTTCAAATTTCGCATGTGCGGATACTTCAGCTCATGCCAGAAAATTGTCTGTGCAGTTCCACGTCTTCGTGTAGCCCCATATAACAATACCCCCTATATTCGGTGTTTTGATGATTTTAGCTACATTTGAAACAGATTTTTCTTCAAGTTTCGTATTTAAATATTGTAATAACTTATGACAAAAGCTGCCTATACAGGTCCACGTCGTCGTATAGGCATTCGGTATTTTTAACATTTTAACAGAATTTTTAACGGATTTAATTTATTTATTTATTTTTTTTTTTTTTTTTTTTTTGGAAATTGTCAAATTTGTACCAAATGGTGGAGGGTATTAAGAGTTCGGTAGTTTTTTGCCAGTAGTCGGCACCATTTTCCAATGCTCGGCATGTCTATTTGCCAGTAGTCGGCATATGCTATTTCAGTAAAAAATATTATTTTGTATATTTTTTTATTTCAAATAGTATAAAACAATGCTGCATTACTAAATCACAGTTTAATTAACTAATTTCGTTTTTAAATAGTGTTTTATTAAATTATCATTCTAAACTAAATATAGGTAGAAAATCAAGAATAGTATGGTTACCTTCAGTAACGTATGGATTCAATCAGAATAAAAATGAGATTAAATAGAAAAGTACCTTTCTTGTATTTGAAACTTGTGAATTGATCTTTTTCCTTTATATAACCAACATTTTTTTAAATGCCACCGCTATCTAAAACGTCAAATAGCTGATTTAAAAAAACCTACTTAGTTTAGAAAAGTTGGTCAAAAAGCACAAATAAAAGCAACTGCCGACTCAAAACTATTTATTTGAATAGTTTTTGGATTAGTTTTTAATACTTTTCTCAAGTTTTGGTGAAATAGGTCAAAAATTATATTTTTCTAGTAATCGGCACCCCCTGCCTACTACTCTCTTTTTTTCTGTCAAAGATAAACAAATATATAAAAATGCGTAAAAATTGATAAAACTAAACCCGAAATTGGTAGAAATAGTGTACTATTTAAAGTTTGTTAATTTTATTCGTAACAACTACCTACCCTTTAAAACTATAAAAATAAGATTATTAAAGTAGCCTTTGAGACCTTGATATTATTTATCAATGCTTTTACAAAAACAAATATCAACACAATATCCAAACATAATGTAGGGTTCAGACCGTAGTGCACACATCATGGTGCATAAACGTGTCCATAGCTTAAAAAAGGAACATCAGTTTTTTTTTTCTTGCTCCTTCATTTTATGACCCCAGTAGTTGATAGACATTTTGCCAAACGTTCGGTTTTGTTCCTTCTGTTCTATTTATGTTTTGGCTTATTTTGATATATGCATGCAGTCAAAATATTTGTGGTCCTAGCAAATTCATAAATGAAGATGGTCGGTTGCGAACTTCTACTGCTGGCCAATGACTTGGATTTTAGTTGGCAATGTTTGTTGTTTTCTTCTCTTTTTTAAAACACTCCATCCAATGTTTGTTTATTTTCCTACGATCAAAAGTTGTTGCTGCTGTTGTTACTACTGCTGCCGTTACAGTTGCTATTCAAAACATTTAACTGGCATTTATTATTTAACAGTTGATGGCCTTGTTTGAAGACCATCTTTTTTTTTGCTGTTGTTTGGTCTGAAAGTTTTCATCATTGCCTTTGTACTTTATTTCGTTTTCTGTCTCTCTGTCATTTCAGGTTCGTTACTGTCACTCGCTGACGGATGAGGAACGCAAAGAACTTCGCCTATTCTCCACACAACGTAAACGTGATGCACTTGGACGTGGCAATGTCAGACCTCTGATGAGTGCACGTCCCTGCGACGGGGTAAGTAGATAGATATTTATCGATTTAAGATTAAATTTCAGCGTTCTCCCACCTCTTAAGCTGCCATGAAATTAGTTTGTAATTTTTGCATTTTCCATGGACGCTGATAGTGGGAGAAGGTCAATTTTGTAGAAAGAAATGCAAGAAAAGTGGCACACCATTCCGTTAAGCAATTTACAGAGATGGTGTAAAAATTGCAAAGTATGCTGAAATGAAATTGGTATTTAATTTTTATGTTGGGTATAGATTGTAAATAAGAAAATTCTAGACTAAGCTAATTGAAAATGGAACAAGTTGGAGGATTACAGTCGTAAATAATCGGAATAAATTTGATGAGGGAAATTTGACCAAGCTAGATGGATGAATGTAAGATATGTCGCCTATATTCTTAAAAAAGCTTGTGAAGAAACAAATTTAAGGGGTATAAAAAAGTTCATATACCTTTAAAACTATATCAAGACCATGTTAATTTTTACAAACTAATATGAGGTTCAATATTCTATTGGCAAATCAGAGTAAACATCTTCTGATTGGCTGAAAATTATAGCTTCAACGTCAGAGGAAGGAAATTTCAATCATAATACAAACTGTATAAAGCCAATTAAAATATGAATAGCTGAAGTTCATGTTCCTGATGATGTACTGTTGCTAAGCCTGCCACCATTGAATGGTTTTTGTGACCAAGAAGTTCCATGTAGGCCTTTATTTAAATACTATCCGACAGAAATTTTTAGAAACAACTTTTTCTTTAAGTCGATATAAGCTGATAAATATATGAGAACATATGTAGAAAGAACACGAAGGACAACCTAAGGTGGAGGCTGGAACAGGAATCCTAATTTACTGTTAGAAGGGATTGAAGTCAAGTTGCCCATAAACAGATTATTGTTGGTGATGAGCATTTTTTATTTAAGATATCCAAATATTGTTTTTAGTATGGAAGGGTCATTCCATTTGGAACACCTCGAAATATACATTTTGACCCCACAAAATGTATATATTCCTGATCTGCATAAAATTCTAATACGTTCCCATACGTTCCAAATTTGTAACAAACATCCTTGCATAGAACTATCAATGTAGGTCTAAGTTTTGGTATAGTCCCCATAAGACTGTACTTCCAAATATTCGGTAATTTGAAATATTTCAAATTTGTACAGAAAATTGTCCAAACAGGCCTACGCCTTCAAATAAACCCATATAACAGTCCCTCCCTATATTCCGTATTTTGATTGATTTTAACGACATTATCCGCCGGAATTGATTAAAATTTCGTATTTGTAATTCCTAATAGGTACTACAGACCATGGCTCAATGCAATTATGTACCAGAGCCATATAGTGTCAAATAGACATCTAAGTATGCAACAATTAGTTTTGCTTATTTTATATTTTAACCACGCAAACGCAAACGCAATTTTGGGGTTCTTCCACAAAATTGAATAGATGATAGAAGATACAATGACGTTTTCTCCCAAAATTTTGCAATTTGTTTCCCATTAACGTTGAAAATATGCATTTTTATTGCAACTGAATTTGAAATAATTTCATATTATTTTATTTTTATTCAAAACAATACCCACACATATACAAACTGTGTATATGTGATGACATAATAGGGGCACCAGTAGAAAAAATTGTATTTAGGGGTAGCTTTGTTCTACTTTCTGTAATTGAGACATGTTACAGCCTATGCTAGAAAATTGCATATGCAGGCCCAGGTCTTACTATAACTCATATAATGATACACCCTATGTTCCGTATTTTAATGATTTTAGCGACGTTATGCATCGGAATTGGTATTTGAATTCCTAAAGGGTAATACCATCTCTGACAGAATATGTTTTTGTTTTTTGGAAATTTGCAAATTCTTTCCAAATGGTGGAGATTATTTTAAGTTCTACTCGGCTTTAATGTGAAATTCTACACAAGGAGCTCCTCGTGACTACTTTACCTCCTGAAAAATTATTGTCTATACAGGTCCATGATATCGTATATCCCCATATATCGGTACCTCCCGATATTCGGTATTTTGATGATTTTAGCAAACATGTTTTAATGAAATTGTCTGAAATTTCTGTTTTCTGTGAGTGCTTTACCCCTGAAAGAGAATTATTTATATAGGTACACGATATAGCACCCATACAATGGTGGCCCCCAATATTCGGTATTTTGATGATTTTAGTCACATTTTTTCAATGGAATTGGCTTAAAATATACGCATGAAGTTCCTTCTGAGTACTTTACCCCCTGAAAGAGAATTTTCTACATAGGTCTACGTTTTAGTATGTCACCCATGTAACGGTACCCCGAGATATTCGGTATTTCCAGAATTTTCGCGACATTATTCACCTGAATTGCGCGTAATTTCGTATTTAAAGTTCGTACTACAACCTATGACGGAAAATTGTCTATGCAGGCCTACGTCTTAATATAGCCCCCATACAACGGTTCATACCTTTATTCGGTATTTTGATGATATTAGCGACATTATTCACCGGAATTATTCGTATTTGAAGTTTGGAATTGTTACTACACCATGTCTTCGTATAGCCCACATATAAAGGTTTTCATTTGAGCGGTATTTTTCGAGGGATTTTTTTTTTTAAATCTTTTAAGTTCTTTCCAAATGGTGGATGGTATAAAAAGATCGGCCGGCCAAGCTTCGCTGCTTCTTTACTTGTATTTGTTTTTAATTTTGACCATGTTTTCCATTTAATTTGTTTTGACGTACATTATGATTATTCAAATTATTGATCCTTTATGGAGGATATACCTTTATTATCTTCTCATCAGAACTGACTCTGATATACATTACAACGTACCCGATTTGGACTATATCGACAACTTCCTATGAAATATTTGCGATGTATTAAATAAATTGGATCACAGCATTCCACTTCATCTAATAGTGATAAAAAATATTTGGATGTGCAAAATTTGAAGAAAATCAATTTTTTTTGAGAATAATTGAGGTATTAGAAGGAGTGGACCGATATGTCCCGCCTTAACACCAGATTTTGTTTTAAAAAAAGTATTGGTATGTGTTAAATTTAAAGATAATCGGACACTTTTTTGCATTTTTAAGGTTTATAATTATACACCTGGCCTAACACTGATACAAATATTAGAATTTGCAAATTTTGCACAAAATCGAATGATCCTTTCTCTTTCTATAAGGTATGCTATTTTTTTTTTAATCTCGAATTTGCCCTTCACCGAACTCGATATATTTCGATGCACCATACTCCCTTCAAGAGTTATCGTGCGCACCAGCCAGACAGACGGAGGGACGGATACCCCTAGATAGACTCCAAATGTCTTGAAACGAATTTGGTCAAAAGAAAACACTTTTTGGCCGTATCAAATGATATATAATACTGTAGCTACATAGCTGAGGGTATGTGTCCAGCCTTTGTACAGTTTTCACCCAATTTGCTAATTGGTGATTGGAATCGAAATTGAGAGATATTATAAAATTAGTGGAGTTTTAATGGTCAAGAGAATCTGGAACCTCCAATAATTTACAATTTTTATACGGAGTTTTTTATTTAGGAGAACAAAAATTTGCATAATCGTCATTCTTCTAAGTTTCAAAACTATAATTTTGGAGACTTTTCGCAAAAGCCTTTTATGTGCTTTAATTACATTTTTTCGATATGTCCTTTGTGGGTATTTCATACGCATAAGGTGCTAAGGTCTTGGCATATGTCGGAATGCTTATTTTTCTCTAATATGCTCTCTGCTTTGTTGGTAAGCGCAGAATTTCATAAATTAAAACTAAATTCAATACATAAATATTTCATACAATTAAAAGTTAATTTTTAGCTAATGACTTGGGAGTAGTTTAACGACACTGCCAATTATGCGAACGGCGACGACACATTCCTCCCCCACCATCACCTCAACTAATTGTGGCAGCAAACAGCTTAAGTTGCAACTGTCAGCGAATTGTTAACCCAAGTGTCATGACATGTGTTCGGACTGATTGTACATAGCCACCTACAAACTTCAAGTGGCCAAGAGAATGTCGTTAAGAATGCCCGGCATAAGACAGTTGTGAAAAGGCAACCTGCAAACAACGGATAGAAGCCAAGCAACTTAACTCAACTCAACTTGACTTTGTTTGCTACGAAAAAAAGAAACGAACACCTTACAACATGACTTGACCTGGCTAACTGGAGGGTAATTGAATGATTGTGGGTAGCTGGGATTCCAAAGACATCAGCTGCATCGGACGCTGCGGCGAAGAGTGAATGCAAGGCATTCTCAAGTTTATCTTTATCCGAAGTGGGAATGTTATTAGGAGCGCTGAGAAAAGTTGGTAGGAAGAACAACAGCCAAAAACAAATAGACAAAGTAAATGTTGACAGTAAGCAGGGGGTCAAGTGTTAAAGTTTTGCCTCCTCTTTTCTCTGAATTTCTTAAAAATTTGTCAGGCGCCAATTTTTCCCTTCCTTTAAGTTTCACGCAATTTATAGCAAAAAGCAAACAACACCCTGTTTTGCCTCAAGATGATATACTTTCCGATTTTAATATTAATTTAATGTCTCATTTTGCAAATCTAATTTCAGTGCGACGATTTGATTTCCACCGGTGACATGGCAGTGTTTGCCTCTCGTTTGGGTCCCAATGCCTCCTGGCATCCTGGTTGCTTCGTGTGCTGCGTTTGCCGTGAATTGCTTGTCGATCTTATCTACTTTCATCGAGACGGACGTCTGTATTGTGGCCGTCATCACGCAGAAACTTTGAAACCACGCTGCTCCGCCTGTGATGAGGTAAGTTTTCATTTTTTTTCTTTGTTTTACTGTCTGGATAAAGTTTTCTCGGATGTGAATTAATCATGTTGAGAGTGCTTTTACTCGAGACTAATGTCACTTGTTAAAAGTTGAAAGAAGTTATGAGTTATTAATAATAATTATAAAGGACTCAGTCTGTGAATATCGTATTGCGTTTAAAGAAATGAAAGTGTCAGACATTTTGTTTCGAAGATTTATGTTGTTTTTGGAAAAAAAGAAAAGTTTAGTCATATTCTGTATTGTGTTGGATGATCGAATACTAAGTGCATGGGAAATTGTATATGTCATATACAATTATATATCAACAGGATTTCGTTTACACAAGGTCTGTTACCCATTGATACCTCATAACTGAAAACCGAAATTTTGTGTGCCCTCTATTTTTGGTCTCGATTGATGTTAAAAGTTTCTTGCTAAGATGTAACACAATCATACATAACAAGAAAAATATGTAAAAAATCCACATTTACGTTTTTCGATATATGTGTACTTTCAATACAATATTTGCAACCTAGTCCAGTCACAAGGAGTATCTTTTTATACCCTCGGTCATATGGTTACAGACGGGATTTATCATTTGGACGAAATCCGTTTCAGGATATTTAAAATCGATCGAGAGGTGTTCCTCCCCTGTCTTTGGACGGGAGTATTCGATTTGTTCCAAACTTATATGGAATTAGGAGATGAGCAATATCGGTCCACTCCTTCTTTTACCCCCCACACAAAAAGTAAAAAATTTCACAAAAAATAATGTCCATAACAAAACAAGTAAGCTACAGTCGAGCGGGCCGACCGTTGAATATCCTACAACACTATAATAAACGATACAGTTTATATAGGCGAGATATCGATAGAATTCCACAAGATATTGTGACAAATAATAAAAGAAAACCATCAGGATTCGTTCTCTAATTTTCGAATAATAGCAACTTAAACTAATTTGCTCATTTCCAATTTATTGGTAGATGTTGCACGTAAATAGCCTTCCTAGATCTGGAACCAATATTTCCCAAAGACCTATAATCTCTCAGAAGTGACAAAAAATAACATTTATTATTGGTTTTTGACTGAAACGCATCTATATGAGATACAGGCATTTGACTGTATCCCAGCAAAAAAACCAAGGAAAATTCCTCACTATTCTAAACGAAGATTTTCTACATTAGACATGGTAGAGCTAGCTGTAGCGTAGAATTCACTGGTGAAAATATAAAGAAATGTCCCGCGAAAATGCGCTTCCTTTATTTATCCTGAACAGCGCAAACGAAAGCCCGCCACGGAAAGAGTGAATTCATTGCAGAAAAATGCGTTTATTAAGCAACATAAATCAGCGAGGAAAGGTTTGCTTTTTTACAGCGCCGTTAAATGCGCAGAAAGAAAGACAATTCCGAAGCACACCCTTTTCATCCATAAATAAAGCAGAGTTTAAAATTAAAAAAACATAAATTTTATTACTTCAAAAACAATTTCTTTGTACAAGAAAAAACATTAAAATTCATATTATATAATTAGTGAGGTACAGAATGTGGTAGGAACTTGTTATATAATTCTAAAAATTCAATAAATCGATATAAATCTTCGATATCTTCATTTTTTTGCTTCTTTTTGCTTGAATTGTTTTTATAGTAAAGGTTTTTTACGAGTCGAACGGCCTTGCTCAAATGTTTAAAGAATTAATTTTTGGCGGCGAATTCCGAACCTACAGCATCTGTGAAACAAATAATAAATGCACTCAGACACAATTCTAATAAACTTACGATAAATGACGCCAGTAAAATTTTCATATTTAAGTAATCGTTTTGGGCCTTGCAGACGTTATACTCCAACAGTAGAGGCATATCAATTAGTTCCCTCAAGTTACTTTGTAGTTACCCACAGCCTAAAATACTTTTTATGGTCGCAATTTGAGGGAATAAATAAATATAATATTAATGTCAATATTTTACCAAATAAATTTATTTTTTACCATTAATCCAACATTTTCATTGTTTATTTAATTTTCAACTGCTTCGAGTTCCTCCTGTGTTCTTATTGGAAACAATTCTTTATACTTCTGTTTTTCAAGTCCTGGGGTTAGATGGGTTTTTAACATAACGCTGATTTCTGATAGTAGTGCAGTAATTATGAAGACGACACACAATTGTTTACGTACAGAAATTCATAGGAAATACATCAACTTACTTCAACTTTATCAAAAAACAGTTTTGCTCAACAACAACAAAAAAAGACACACAAAAAATATCCCGTTATAAATCATCAAACGTGCGTAGAGACGTCCGTCCACATCATAATCAAATCACAAACTGATTACGTAATCGAATAATAGCTCGAGAGCATGCATGTGAGATCCTAATTGCGTATTTTCAAACCATAGATACGAACATTAACGATCTTAACTTCGTGGTGCTTCCAAGTGTGCAACCGTGTAAATGAGAACGGAAGCTCCCACATACTTTACTGAGGAAAAGTTGCGCTTCAGCCGTTTTTACCAACTAGCAATGAATTTGCCTCTAGAGAAAGCGCTAAAGGAGACATGAAAAAAATTACTGCTTCCAATTTTCAGAAATTTTTTTGCTGGGATTCTTCAACGAAATCAGTGTTAACGAAATAGTCAGAAGAGCGTCTTTCCTGTATTTGTGAATTCTCCAAAAAGTTACTGGAATGGACATTTTCGTATTTTGTCTATAAAAGTTGGTAAACTATTTCACACATTGAATATATTTGGATGACCATCCGAAACTGCTTGGCTTTTGCAATGTGCGGTAACCACCATTCAAATGTGCGTGAGAATCGGGCAATAATTATGGCCTGCTGACAATTTTGCACTTTTTGATCCATTTCAACCCCTAAATATATGGCGATCACCTCCAAAAAATAGGCTTCTATTCTGACCCTCATCTTATCCCCATGCAAAATTTCGTAAGGATCGGGCCATAAATGCGATCTGTATATGATATCCTGATATCCTAACTACTTAGTTTTGTTAGCTGTAGAAATATTACCAAATGTTTAATTCAAAATGAAAAATATGAGAAAATTTTACAAAATCAATATTTTCATCTTTAGAGAGATATTTTTATGATATTTTTTAGACGTTTTTTCTTTCCTGCCAAGAGGCCATTCTGAATTAATGAGAACTGTCGAAATCAGTTCAGCCGTTCTCGATATATAAGAGATCTTTCAAGCATATCTTCTTTGATAGACATATATATCGCACATATTTTGCTATATATCCGATTTGTTGGATGTTAACATCAATGTAAAAGTCAGAAGTAACCTTGTGATGGCTTTGTGATTTAATGAAAAATTTTGATATGGTCTATTTTACCCGCTAAATATTATCCGATGACCACCTAAATTGGTAGGCTTCTTCCCGCCCTAAACTCTAGCTACATGCGAAATTCCGTCGATTAGTCTATAATTGCGACCTGTATAGCTAATGCAAAATCAGACATTTTCTCAATATTTGGTCCATTTCAACCCCTAAACATTTGGCGATCATCTCCAAAAGAAATAGGCTTCTATTCCGACCGTAACCCCACCTTCGTGCAAAATTTCGTTAGGATCGGGCCATAATTGCGACCTGTAGCGTGATTACAAATTAACATGGACAGACGGACATACATAGCTAGATCGACTCAGCTCGGCGAGCTAAGAAGATCCATATATACTTTCGTATATGGGAAACCTATATTTCGAGGTGTTACATAAATTCTGGCCCAATCAAACTTATAATACTCCCAACATATAGTGTTGTAGGGTATAAAAATACCATCCAATTATGTTCACACTTTGCAAATCTCAATATTAGTATCAGTGCTAGATCAAGTGCGAAAATGGACAATATTGACCCACTCCATCAAGTACCTCCGCTACAAAAGGTAAACATTTGAATAAACTGTGAAATAAGAGCCAGATTGTATTAAAATTTCGCACATCTCAATATTTCTACAAACGCAAGATCTAGTATGAAGAGCGGATAGAAGGGACTACTCCTTCTGGGACCTTCCCCACAACGGGTTGAAGTTTTGAATAACCATGAAGCTCATAAAACGCTAAATAAGCATCCGATTCATTTCAAACTCGGTACATCCCAATATCTCTACAAAATCAGTTGTGAAGATAAAATATATCAGACCATTTCTACTGGTACCTCTCCAACAACAGGTCAAAATTTTGAATAATTTTAATTCTTATAAAAAGAGAAATAAGCATCCGATCCCTTGTACTTCCATCACTTTTTATGAGATATGTGTTTTTTTTTTTTTTTTTTTTTTTTTGGTACGTCCTTGTATTTATATCAAGTTTCGGTCATTAAGGTCATCATTTTAAAAAATCATAATGCAAGTCAAAATACATTTTAAAAACTTACATAGGCTGAGAGGATACAAAAGCAACGGATCCAAATCTTATTTTGGAAAACCAAGGATTTCTAGCAAATGTTTCGTCTCAAACTTGCTGCCCAACCATAATGTTTTTGAATAACTGCCTTGAATTCCAATTACTTTTTGTCATCGACCTGCTTTTATGGCCTTCAAATAACCTTCATTTAACTCTTCAGGGCACAGATCAACCAGCTATATCGTTACCTTGCTAATTTAAATAAGATGACGGTTCCTTTCCACATTCCGTAGCCATTTTATACGGATCCTGTGGTTTTTTCGGGAAGCCCCAGGACAAGCAGTGATTTTGCGGACTGGCTCGCTGTGCCATCCCCTCATTCTCGTTTTCGGGGTATCTGTTCATTCTCGTTTTCGGGGTATCAGTTCGAAGGATGAGTGCTTGTAGCTGTAAATACTGTTATAGATGCCAAGGCACCCATATCGGTGCAGGATGACGACGGAGGTCGACTTATAGGTACATCAACGACAGCCGACTATACTAGGTTATTTTGGCCCTACACCATAACTTTCTCCACTTGGGTTGCTGCTTTGTTTTCTATTGGGATACCATCCCCATAGTCAAAAAACATCAGGGATGGGATGTTTCAACTTTAACCAGTAAAGAATGCCCTAAAGTCGGGCGGGGCCGTCCTTATGATACCCTACACCACTTTGCTAATTTAGTAGAGCTCCTCATAACAATTAAAAGTTTTTATGTGAGAATTCAAACATACACGCTATGATTATAATTATAAATTAAAATTTAAGGACTAAATATGCCGAAGCATTTGTATCTTTAAATTCGGACTTGTATTGTCCTTTTGGTCCAAAATTAATTTGCTCTCCTATATATATATATATATATATATATATATATATATATATATATTATATATATACATATATATATATATATATATATATATATATATATATATATATATATATATATATATACATATATATATAATATATATATATATATATATATATATATATATATAGATATATATATATATATTATATATATATATATATATATATATATATATATATATATATATATATATATATATATATATACATATATATATATATATATATATATATATATATATATATATATATATATATATATATATTTGAGAGCTATATCCATATCGTTTTTACTGAGTGCATATTACGGCTACTGATAACAAATACAACAAATCGGATGAACAATATATATGGGAGCTATAGCTATATCTGATGGGAGCTATAGCTATATCTGAAGACGTTTGATGCACAATAAAAGGTAAATCGGACAAAGTTATATATGGGAGCTACACCCAAATCTGAATCGATATCAATAAAATTTAGCAAAGATATTTCTGAGCTGCATTTGATATATTTCCCCAAATATTGTTGTTACAGGGTGCATATTACGGCTGCGGAGGACAAATATAACAAATCGGATGAACAATATTATGGGAGATATAGCTATATCTGAACCGATCTTCACCAAATTTGGCATACTACCTCAATTCGGTCGTATGTGCCAAATCCCATCCCATTTGGGCAAATATTAGACGTTTGGTGCACAATAAAAGGCAAATCGGACGAAGATATATGTGGGAGCTATATCTGAATTTTTACCGATTATCTCCAATTTTAGTACGGTTCGTTCTTTTTTCATCTCAATCGGATAATAAATGCGACCTGCATTTTGTTCACAATAATACATGGACAGACGGACTGACATGCATAAATCAACTCAGAAAGTGATTCTTTGGAGATCCTCAAAAGTAACTATCTCGCTTCCTTCTCCATGTTACAAACAAATGCACAAAGTCATAATACCCTGACCACCTTGTGGTGCAGGGTATAAAAATAGGCAACTGAGACCATCCAGCCTGCCCCTGATCTAGGGATGTGCCTTATAGGAAACTGACAAACTCCCTCGGGCTAATAAACACCATATTAAGACTCTTTGAAGAAACAGGGTCGTTTAAGCTCAGCTACGATAATATCCCTCGACCACTTTAAGGAAAGCAACAGTCAGCTGCAATGAAGGCGATGCTATTCGACTGCCCATCCGTTCATATCCTGTGTAGAAGTAGGAAGGCAATTTGATATAAATTTAGAGAATATAGATCCATGTAAAAATTATTGTTCTCAGACCGAAGGTCAGATCCGAAAAATCTTTCTCTCAAACGACGTTGATCAGACGTAGGATACACTAGCCTGCCCTGTTCTTTAAAAAGAGTCAATAATATAAAAGGGAATAGTTTCACTAGCTGTCCTTGCTGCGTATACATCCTCTAATGGAGAAAAAAGAGAAACAGACTGTCAATAGGTAGTTGGAGACTTTTGAATAATGGTGTTGTTGATATCAAATTTGTTATGGATAGACCCAAAGAGGGGTCAAAACGTGTACTGATTTACTACTTAAAACATGATCTGATTGTCAACTAAATTATAGAAAACATGTGTTAGTTTGTAAATAACAATATTGATTGAAACATATATCGGAAGCTATATCTGAACCGATTATCACTAAATTCGAGTTTCTAGGCTAAATTTGGTCGTGTCTGCCAAACAAAGGCCTTAGCAATTTAGCAATCAAAATTTAAAAAATGTATGAGTTATTCATTTCTTTTGAAATATAGGTGCACTGTTATATATCGATAGTACAATATATGTGTACAATCGTTTCGGCAAACAATGAAAATCCAATTTTATAAATTGTTAGTACGGTCTCACAGTGGAAAAACTCCTAGTAATTTTTTCAGTTGAAGTGGCTCTAATTAAATATTTTCTTTGACATCTAATCAGAGCCATCTTAACGCCGTCTTTGTTCTTTTCAGTTTTTACTCTCAGGTGATGGATCTTATCGCATTTCAACTTTGTTAGAGAAAATAATGACCAAGTAGCACTACGACCACTCAAACACGCCACCATTCTGAAAGTCTCTCACCTTCACCTGGCGTTATCAATATTCCTTCAATTTCAAAAGTCTCAATCATGCTTATACATATCAAAATTTGCAATGACACTAAACTTTTGCCAGCTCACGACCATAGCACGCACTTTACGTCGAAGAAATTCCAATACTTTAGCCCAGCACGATGCTCCCCAAACACGTTCGGTCATGAATAGTTTTTCATCCCCGGTAACAATGCACCACAAAAGAAAGTTAGTTTAAGTTTTTCCTTTTTCTTTTTGATTTCAAGTGACATAAAGAAGAAAATGCTACTAGTCATGTAACGGAATAACCAAAACTTTTCCATTTTCCCTGCTCTGTCTTACAGATTATCCTGGCCGATGAGTGCACCGAAGCAGAAGGACGTGCCTGGCATATGAATCACTTTGCCTGCCAGGAGTGCGAAAAGCAATTGGGTGGCCAGAGGTACATTATGCGTGAGGGCAAGCCCTATTGTCTGCTCTGTTTCGATGCGATGTTCGCTGAATACTGTGATTACTGTGGCGAAGCTATTGGCGTAGATCAAGGACAAATGAGTCATGACGGCCAGCATTGGCATGCCACCGACGAATGCTTCTCGTGCAACACATGTCGCTGTTCGCTGCTGGGACGTGCATTTCTGCCCAGACGTGGCTCCATCTATTGTTCCATAGCCTGCAGTAAAGGTGAGCCACCAACGCCGTCGGACAGTTCGGGCACCGGCATGTACACCACACCCACGCCACCCACTCAGCGAGTAAGACCTCAGACGCGTATTCCGTCAAGTCATGCCTCAAGTTCGCCGCCAATGTCACCTTTGCAACAACAGCAGCATCAGCAAAACTTCAACAATGCCATGTATCAGCTGCAAAGTCAGCAAATAGCGGCTGGCATCTCGAATAGCAGCAGTGTGAATGTTGTCGGAGGATCCAATGTGGGTTTGGTGGCCATATCCACCTCGTCGGATGGTGCTAAGCAAAGTTATCCCACCTCGGATTCAGATGCGGGTGTGGTCAAGGATATGGAGCATACGGCAGGTGATTTTACCGACTTTTCGGGCGGCATTAACTCGTCGTCTTCCCAGAACATGTCACCCCTGACATCGCCGGGAGAATTCAATCATTTGATGCCAAAACCCATGGAACTGAAACGTGAAGGGCCGTATAATTTCAATGAAATGGCTCTCAATCTGGATTCAACCTGGCCCAATAAGCCCATACTGACAGGAGCCACGAGCTATAACCTGCAACGACAGCTGCATCAAATATCCGAGGTGGAAAATTCGAAAACCTCCAGTATGCCTGAGCTGTCGATACAAACAAACTCTTCGTTACCTCAAAATCCAAATGCCATCACTCAACAATATGGAAATTGTCCAGAATATTCGCAACCCTTGCAACAAACGCAGCCACATCCCGCAACCTCTGCACCGCCCTCGGAGGTTCCTGATCTTCCAACACCAAACTTATCGGTGGCCTCAACAGCTCTTCCTCCAGAGTTGATGGGATCGCCCACAGCCTCGGCCGGTGAACGTTCCATTGTGTCACATCAGTCAGCTCAGTCGGGTACAAATCCGCCCATACATCCGGTGTCTATTTTGAGTGGAGCATCCTCATCGTCACCCATGAGTGGTGGAGGGGAGAGTAAAAAAGCCAAAGGTGTTAGATTCGAAGGTATACCCGCCGATACATTGCCACGATCTCGCAGTTATTCGGGCAATGGTGCCGGGACCAATCGAAGCAATGATAACAGTTCTGAGCCAACGCAACGACATGGCGGTCACTCTTCACGGCGACGTAGACGACGAAAATCTCATCGTTCCGGTAGTGGTCATCGTTCCAATTCCACAACACGAGCCGACACATACAACACAACACAGCCGCTCTCATCTTCGTACCAAGGACCACCTTCCATTCTACAATCAGCCACATTAGATCCTACCCGACATCATCATTCATCGCAGACTACCATGTCGACCGGGCAACACGATGACGATTCAGACGATGCGTCCAGTGTGTGCTCGACCTGCTCTTCCAGTTCGTCCAGTTCCGAGGATTATATGATGTATCAACTGCCACAGCGACGTCATTATGGCGGTGTACGCGTCAGTTATGTGCCGAACGACGCCTTGGCCTACGATCGCAAACGCAAGACGTCCGATGCGAACGACAAAGACAAGAATTGTATCATTTCGTGATTTACAAACAAAAGCAAATGCGTGAGCATCGATGCTGCTGCAATAACTGGTCGGCAACAACATAACTGCCAATTGTGTCCATGCAAAAAACACATCAATGTCTCCCTCCTCCTGTCTTTTCTTCGTCTTTTGTTCTAGCGCTAATGCTGCCAAAGGCAAAATCGATACCGCCGTCGCCAATACCAACGCCACTAGTTTTCGTTTCTACCACCAACACCACCGTCATCTTCTTCAAAATAATTTATGCTGTTAGAAGCAGCTACATATTAATTAAGGATTTTTGTTTTTGTCTTCATCGGTTTCGTGGAGTTTGCATTTGGCGTTTAGATGTTTGATTTTATACATTACCGCACAGTGAATTAAAAACTGAAAATTGCGGGTTTAATTGCCAATGTTAAAATAATATATAAGAGATATGTAAGTTGTGCTTTCAAAAATGTAGGAAAAAGTTAAAATTGAAATAGTTTGTTCAATATGTAATATGACTATAATCTTTTAAATTATAATCGAGTGATTTTCACTCTCTTTTTTTACTTGGGGTGAGTATTTTGGAGGTCTCTTGATTTAGTATGCTTTTGTAGTCTTTAGTATGCTTTTGTAGTCATAAGGCTGAGGCAATATAAAATAGATAGTGGGCACACTTTTTCAGTTATTCTCTCATAAAAAAAAAACATTTATATTCGTCTAAGTTCCACATCCTCGGACATAATATCCATTGCAATTACTCCCCCTGGGGAGTATGACCATTGAACAATTTTCGGACATAATCCCCAGAAAGAAAACAAGGTTTATGTTGAGTTATGGGCTATGCTAAGATTGACTTGCATAGCTCTTGAAGTTCCGAAGATATTGACTTTAAAATCAAAGACCGTCTACTGGCAAAAGTTATATGGTTTAGAAAAAACTATGGATCGCGTATCCGGTGTTGGACATCTTAAAATCTCAGTCCCGGCCGAAGTCTGGCTAATTTTAAAAGCTCTAAAAGATACATGCAAAAATTGTGTGCATATCAGTTTTGTAGAAACGGATAATCCGCATTTTCGAGTCGAATAACCGGGTATTTCCCACTCGAAAAAATTACTTTGCCGTAATCAGGTTAAAAATACCTACATCATTATTTTGGGGATTATGTCTGCTACTTTCTAGGGATTACGACCGATTATTTTGGACATAATCCCCACTCCATTATGGGGGTTATGATAATGGGGATTATATCTGTGGCACCTGAAGATGGGTCATATCGGTCCACTCTTTTTGGTACCTTACCCATAAAATAAGTTCGATCCTCCATTACTTCAACAACAAACGGTCTACATTTTGAAAAAAGCTCCACAATAAGATGGAGTGCAACGGTGAACCGGTTATGTATACCTCGAACTGCTTGCATGAGACCCCGTATAGTACATGAATTGGTGAACACCACAACAATTTTAAACCGATTTAATGAAGTCTATCCCATCTGCTGAAAAAAGATACTAGTTACAGTTCTAAGATACATGAATGAACGTTTGTAGTATTCTTTAGATGTTTCTTATTGGTCCACATTTATGTATAGCCCCCCATAAAACACAAGGTCCCAATTCCCAACAAAATCAGCTATTATATTTTGAGTTCTCAGTGGATAGTTTAATTTTTTGCAAAATTGAAGTTTGTTTGTATAAGGTTAGAGACGATTTGTAGAGTTTTTTTCTTCATAAACTCCAGGTCATTTACGATTTAAAAACACTGTGCTTCATTATTGGATTCCAATATACATACATTTTTGTTTTGCAGCCAGTAGCAAAGAGGTTGCAACCAGACAGACCGGTAATTTGGTCAAGTTGGCATGGCCATTGTGCATGCAATAAAATAATACGTATTGGCATCATTTAATCATGGCCTTTGGCTAGACTGCTTCTTTGCTGCTGTTTTTATTTCTTTCCGACCATTTTTGGCAAAGGCCTGCCTCCTTATCTCTTTGAAATTGAAAAATAAAAGATTTTTCTTTTCAAACGCTAAACCAAAATTGATGACTTTCGGCATACGATAATATCGTGCGCATGTCATTCGATGTAAAACATTTAAATTTCAAAATTTTACGACATATCTTTTACGACATAAAATATGATTTATGTACCAAATATGCTTAGGACTATAAATGCTTTCGAATGGATGTAAATTTTAAATCTATAATAGTTAAGAAAAAAAAAAATAAAATTCTATGTATAAGTATATAGTTCTTACCATGTATTATTATGTATAAACATACACTCACACAGATGCTACTGTAAATACTTTCACATTTATAGCAACAAGATATAATATGAAAGTGAATACAAAGTCTAAAGTACAATCCACACATCTAACTATTTGTGTTTTCTTTTTCTAAACAAAATAAAACTTTACAAATAAGTACACATGTGAACATCATCAAAAACTAACAATAACTATGAAAAAGTAATAACAATAACTACAACATTTTTGTTAACAGTGAAAAAGCGAAGCAATAACTTTTATTTGTGAGGAAAATCGCCTAGCTTTAAGTGCAACTAGATTTAAGCTATTCTTAAACAAACAATTATTTATATTTATCTTATGAAATCTAGGTATTTATATCTTTATGGTTAAAAACGAATGAAACTGATTACATATTAAGTATGATATACACTCCTACATATACACACACATATATTTATATAGCAAACAAAATGTTTAACTCCAAAAAATATGCATATTTTTAAACCAAGTTTATCTAAATTATTAAATAACTAACTCCTAGTTGTAAGTTGAAATTTATTTGAATAAAAGAAAACTGAATTAACTGGAAAATGCCGATGTTTTTTTTTATTGAAAAAGGAATGACAAAGGATAGTTATTTGATACCTTCGAGGCTGATTAAAATAATACTCAGAATTTTATGTAAGCTTTCTATATGACTACGCTACAGGCGAGATTTTAATGGAAACGCCTCAAATGGGAAATTGGGATGGATAAAAATTTAAATTTTTCTGCAAAAAATTTTTTGAGGACAAAACTGAAGAATAATTAGAATAAACAATCATTGAATTATCGCTAATGTTGTAGCACGATGGTTCGGTCTTGTGTTCATGTTTTATACCCTACACCACATAGTGGTCTTTCTGCATTTGTTTGTAACATGGAGAAGGAAGCGAAATAGACCCACAGTTACTTTTGAGGATCTTTATAGAATCACCGTCCGTCCGTCCATCCATGTATCCTTTTGAACAAAATGCAGGTCGCATTTTTATCCGATTGAGATGCAATTTTGCTAAATATATTTGTTTTGCCCAAGGACGAACTTTATTGAAAATGGTGATAATCAATTCAGATATAGCTATAGCTCTCATAAATGTGCTTCATCCAAATTGGGGTTTTAAGTTCCTCACATGAGTAATATGCACTCAAGAAAAATGATATTTGGAATTTCGAGCAGCATCTAGCTCGAAAATACTTCTGTCAAATTCGAGATCGAGATTGATTCAGATTAGGATAGAGCTCCTACATATATCTTCGTCCGATATAAGGTTTATTGTGCACCTGAATTCATCCTTTAAACCAGTACTTCAAATTTGGTGTATCTCGGTTCAAATATAGCTGTAGCTCCCATATATATTTTTCATCTGATTTGGTGTTTAAGTCCCTGAAATTCGTAATATGCATTGGACAGCAATGATATTTGGTACCAGGTTTAAGTGCAAATAATTGCTAATATCAGCCCAAATAAAGTAAATTTCGGGGCGTCTGTTTTCATTTTATGCAACTCGGCTTCGATATATATTTTTATACCCTCAGCTATATGGCTAGAGAGGGTATATATCATTTGATACGGTCAAAACGTGCCTAGTCGAAATAACGGTTTTAGACCCTAGGTCTCTTTGAACCAAATCCGTTTCAGGAGCCGATCTAGCGATGTCCGTCCGTCTGTCTGGCTGGTGCGCACGATAACTCTCGGAAAAAGTAACCGCTTTGACCAAAACTTAGTACATCGTAATATTTTTGTCAAACTTAGATCGAGTTCAGAGATGGGCAAAATCGGTCCATTCCTTCTAGTACCTCCCCCACAAAATGTCAACATTTTCAAAGAAAATAATTTTGTGTACATAAAGAGAAAAGATAATCCGATTTTGCTCGACCATTGCAAATCCTATTATTTGCATCAGTTCTAGGTCAGTTGCGAAAATGGACAATATCGGTCAACTTTTAGTTAATCAAGGTCTGATATTAAGATTTAATATATCGGTCTACTTCTTCTGGTACAACCCCCCAAAAGGTCGCCATTTTAAAAATATTTATTTTGCACAGAAAGAAAAAACGATAATCGTATTTTGCTCCAACTTTGCAAATGCTAATATTTGCGTCAGTGCTAGGTCAGGTGCGAAAATGTGCTCAAGTGCTTCCCCCACCAAGGTTTTGAATTATTATTACTCTTATAAAATGTAATGTAAGAATTAGATTGTATTAAAATTTCACACATCCCAATATTTTTACAAACTCAAGATCTGGTGTTAATATGGAAAATATCGGCCAACTCCCTCTGGTACCTTCCCCACAAAAAGCCAAAATTTTGAATATTCATTAAACTCATAAAACGCGAAATTAACATCCGCTTCCATTTAATTTTGGCATATCTGAATATTTCCATTAACACAAGATCTGTTATAAAAACGACAGAGATCGGACCATTCCTTCTGGTACCTCTCCTACAAAGGGTCAAAATTTTGAATATCTATGAAGGTCATAAAACGCGAAATAAACATTAGGTTTTCTTTATACACAAGATCTGTTGTAAAGACGGGATATATGCGTCCACTCCTTTTGGTACCTCCCCCACAAAGGCTCACAATTTTGAATATCCATGAAGCTCATAAAAAGCGAAATTAACATCCGATTCCATTCCAGACTTGGTACATCAAAATATTTTCATCAACACAAGTTCTGTTATAAAGATAGAGAGATCGGAAAGCGAAATAAGCATACATTGAAATTTCTTTTCAACATTTTTGTTGATACAAGATCTGTTGTGAAGATGATATATGTATATCTGTGAGCCCCTTCTGGTACCTCACCCACAAAAGTTCATAATTTTCTATGCTTTTATCTGTTATAAGTTGCAAAACAAGTCAGCAATACTTTACAACTTGATGTATCTAAATATTTATCTCAACCAGAAACCTGAGATGCATAAAGAATTTATAATCTGCCATAAATTGGATATAAATGTTCGACTGTCTTGTAATTTTGCCCATACCAAAATTTTGATATGTATTAGATGAAGCATGAAAATGGGATACTGCTTTCGTTACGGGAGCTCTACTATATATGCATAGTGATGTAGGGTATCATATAGTCGGCCCGCCCGACTTCTGAGTTTTCCTTACTGGCGTT